AAGAAGTCATTATCCCACTCTACTCAGCACTTGTCAGGCCATGCCTGGAATACTGTGTGCATTTCTGGTCCCAGCTATACAAAAAAGATGTGGACAGGATGGAGGGGTCCAGAGAAGCCTGGGAAGCCTGCCATATGAGGACAGGCTGAGAGAACGGGGTTTGTTCAGCCTTGAGAAAAGGAGGCTCAGAAGTGATCTCATCACCATGTTCCACTATTTAAAGGGTGGCTACAAAGAAGACGGAGACTTCCTTTTCACAAGGAGTCACATGGAAAAGACGAGGGGTAATGGGTACAAGTTAATCCTGAGAAGATTCTGACTGGATATGAGTGGGAATTTTTTCACAAGAACAGTCAACCATTGGAATAATCTCCCCAGGGGAGTGGTTGACTCCTCCGCATTGAACACTTTCAAGACTCAGCTGGACAGGGTGTTGGGCCATCTTGTTGAGACTGTGCGCTTGCCTAAAAAGGTTGGACCAGGTGGTCCTTGAGGTCCCTTCCAACCTGGGATTCTGTGATTAAATAGATTTATTCTTTAATACAAAAAAAAAAAAGAAAACAAAACAAAATCCCCAAAACTAACCAACCAACCCTGAGAAAAAATATTTGCATACTGAAGAAAATAGCTACTATGATAGGAGTGATACATTACTTGTCACCTACCCATTCAGATGACATTTTTTTGCTATAACCACATTAAATCCTGTTGACTCAAGATTGAGTTAGGTATATTACACCATCTTACCTGGAGTCCATCTTGGTATTGAACAGCTGCCTGCATAGCTTCAACAAGCTTATCCACCCGTTCTTTCCATGTTTTGTTTAAGGCATCCCAGGCAGAATTCAGCTGCAAGTAAGTGCAAATTACTCCAACGGATAAAAGAATTTTACTGCCATATAGTGCACATTCACTAATTATTCGCTGATCAATAACACCAATAAATTAAGAATGAACAGTTCATACTTATTACATATTAACAGTATTGTTCTCCCTATCACTGTGTAGTTAGTTTCCTCCAGAATACACTAGAGGTTCTGGATTACAAAAGCTGTAAACTTCAATACTGATTATTGAATATTTTTATTAACATAGGAATTATAGTTAATACAGGAAAAACTATTATTAAATAATTTGCAGTTACCTCATTATAAAAAAGGTAGCTTAAAAGAAATGTACATTGCTGAACATTAGATAAATTAAAAGCACTCTGTAGTCATCCAAACTGGATTGTCTCAGTTAAGATGTCTCACTTGGCATAAACCAGGTATATCTGAAAATTATTCTAGCATTACCTTTGCAAAAAGTAGCCATTTATTGTATTAATCAGTGAGTATTTTTACAAAAAACCTTTCTGTCTTCTACAAAAATTTTGACCCATATATCAATAAAATAAAATCGTCTGTATATTCTAATCTAATCCGAGTCAAGGTTCATTGACTCGAAAAGCAAACCTTACTTTAACACAAAGGCCTTGGGGTTATCTTACTTCTGTCACAAAATTTTTATTTTCAAAGTTTTTTGGGGCAGGGGTGGATATACCAATTTCAGCTGAGCAAGCATCTAACATAACAGATTTAAGCATCTGCACTTCCCATACCTCATCTATACTCTTGTTGACAATAGGTTTGTCAGGCTCTCCACAAGCAGCTCTAAGTTCAGAGCCAAGGCTCACAACTGTTTCTAGTTCTTCTTGTAGCCCATCAATTTCTTCTTTAGCAGCCTACAAAGAGAAAAAAAAATCTGACACTGCTAATACTAAATTTAATAACCTATGTACAGCTTGCTTTCAAGATAGAACATGGCAGCATTCAACCTTTGTTTTCTTTAAAGTCACTTGGATTTACAACTGGATGCTTAAAATACAAGCATCCCTTTGCAGCGTCAGAGTGAAATCAACTGACATCAGTCTAAATTATAACAATGGCTTATGATGTCATTTTGTATGACATGGGAAAAACAAACAGGAAGTTTTAAATTAGATTTCTTTAATCAGAGTGTTTTCTTTTTCAGAGGTTATTATTCAGCCTTCACATCTTTAACTATCAGCATAAATAATTACAGGCTTAGAGCATAAGAGAGCATAATACATCTGTACATCTTTCATTTAGATGTTATGTATTACTCAGCGAATCTAAACTATGTATAACTTTTAAAGGTCTCAGTGACATGCTTATTATATACATGTTTATAAACAGATATGTAAATATAATGACAGGCACATGTTGCATGCTCACTGCAATTAAGCACTGATACATGTTATTTACCATAGACCCTTGAGATATCATTACAGTAAATTTCTATACAATTTTCCTTCTTAGTCTCTAAAAAAAACCCCAAATAATATTCTCCTGTAGTATCTCACAATAGTTCTGTCTTTTCTTTGCACACTGTAAATAAAATACTTCAAGTCAACAGAACACTTTCGACTGACCTCAGCAGCTTCTTGCTGTTGCTTGACTACAGATGGGTCAACTCCAGGTCCCTCCAGTTCTCGAATGAAGTCCTGAGTGTCTTTAATAGTCGCTACAAGAGCCATATGATCACACCAAAACTTTTCAGCTAGTTCCATTACATCCAACAATTTGGCCTCCCTTTCCTCAGTTAAGGTCTGGATGTCTTCCCAAATGAGGACCATTTGGTCTAGTTTATCTTGAACAGCTAAACAACAAAGGAACTAGATTACTACCTTGGCAAACAATTCTTGGCCATAAATCTCTCTACAGTTCTACAGCAGAAACATATGCGTACATTTTAAAATTTAGACTCTCAAATTGTTTCTTTACAGGACTTCTTACAATGTTAAGTGGAAACAACCAACATGGCCTTTAAAAATAAAACAAAGGTCATATCCACAATGAATTATTTTAAACAAATGCTTTGCTTTTATAAATCTTTAGCAGCTTCTCCAGGAAAACATAATCCCCAGATTAGCAGTCATCAGAAATGAAGATTTTTATATGTTGCAGCTTGCTGCATTTCTACTACATGAAACTTTCCTCAGTCTACTAACCTTTAGCAGATATATCCTTATCAGCTCCTTCTGAGCGAGCAATCATTTCCTCCCCTCTCTGTTTAAGTGTCTCATACACTGGCTGAAGTTTTTCCAGATCCACTGACACGTTCTTATTTTCACTGATCTGCTCTTTAATCTTCTCAACCTCTGCTGAGATTGAAGGTGGCTGCCTCAGACGTTCAACTATGCGTCTCAGACTCTCAAGAGTTGGATCTATCTTGTCATGAAACTGGGAGGGTGGTAAAGGACAGAAAGAAGTGGCAGAGAAATTGGGAAAAAAAAACCAACTGAAAAATGGCATCTCAAATTGTCTTGTAAAAAGGTACTTTAAAATTAACATATTTAACATCTCTATCCAACATATGTATGTGCAACTTGCAATACCCCCCTTCATGGTTCTTCACCTCTTTTAATATCTAAATTACAAAAATTACCTTGCAAAATGGTACTTCCTCTCAGATCTAAGAATTTTACTATGAGGTCTGGGTTCAGTCCTGAGACACTCCATCTGAAGATACTACACATATGGCAGAATCTACTTGCATTTAGTCCTGTGTAAATCATACAGTAGTTTGTACATTCCTTTGGACAGCCATGGCTTTCTGATTTCACCATTTTAGAAAGGTATTTACCTTAATATTAAATACATACATTTTCATATCAGGACCAACATACTGGCATATAAGCACTGATTAAGATTTGATATGTTAAGGTCATTCAGAAAGACATTTGTTAGTGCCCAGGTGATGCTTTTTATTGCAGTAAAGGTACATTACCTTCTGCAACTAAAAGCATACAACAGCATGTATTGTATGTTCACCCACGTTTGACTGAGCCCAAGAAGGTGCCCAGAACCCAAATTACAGCTATGTTAAGGTCGTTCAGGCTTTGGCACAAGTCCAAAGTCAGCCTTTACTGTATGCTTTTGGATCCATGGACATTCCTAAAAATATCTCGTCACCATGCCCCTTTCAAATTACAGTTAAGTTAATAAAGTGTGGCTGCATTTAATGATCTTCCAGGATCTACAAAGAGCATTCTTTACTACACTTGGGAAAGGTGCTAGAAAGAGCACAGCAAAACAAGATTACCTTACATGAACAAATAGGCACATCCTTTCTATTCAAAGGAATATAGGCAATACAAATGTAATTACTTTTTCCCCACCATACAACCCACTTCAAACCAGAGTCTATGACTAATGTTATGGACTCAGTGTTTTTGTTAAAAGTGTGAGTATCATACAAGTCAGCAAAATGTGTTACAAAAGATAAGTAGCCTTCCCACATTCAAGACTTCTGAAAAACTGATTGTGGCAACAAAACCTTACAAAAATGATAAAACCTGAAATTAAATTGGCAATATTCAGGTCTAATTTTAGGACATGTTAAAATTGTCAGTGCATTCAGTGGGCCTCCTTGTACTCATACTTCAATGAATGAGACAAGGTGGTTTACAACTTAAAAGGAAGAAAATGCAAGTCATTACAACCTCTCATTCTGACTCCATAGGTTATGTCCTGCCTTTGTACATAGTGCAATTTAATATAATTTAAAACCTGAAGAGTTAAATAATTATTCTTCCAGGACTGTCTAGACAAACATTGACATAGCTATCATAGTACAGAGCCTTGATAATATATATTTACATATCTTAATAAAAAAGGAGACTATAAAATTACATTCAGGGCATTACAATGTTTTGCTTTGCCATCTGCATATACATTTATGTATATAAAATGAACCTTAAAGTACTGAATAAATAATTAAGTATTTATCGAGGTTCACTGCATAAGCTGATGAACTTAAGATACACAGCTTTTATGGACTTGGTCTGAATTTTATGCTTGTGATGACATTTTGTGAGGTCTAACTTTGTTCACAATACTTTCACGCAACAGTTTAAGCACATGTTATGTTAAGTTCTCGTGGGTCAGCAACGAACAAATGGTATTACCACTGTTGCCAAACTACCCTCTAGTTCCATTGGTAATGGACAGTAACTAAAGCTGTCAAGTTTGAGATACAACTACTCTCAAATGAACTGATCAATAGTGACATCCGTATACAAATAAAGCATCAGCTAGTAACAGACCAGCAAGAGAAAACAGAATTAAGTGAAAATAAAATCCCACATTTTTAGACCAAATGTTCCCTTTTTTACTTCAAAGTTAAGAATCAGTAACAGTTTTCAATTGCAGCAGTCATAATACTGACCAATATATAAAATTATAACCCCTTGAGAAATAGAAAAGTTAATGCCATAAGCAGTGATATAAACATCCACAGGGCATTAGGTTGAAAAATACAGATAAAACAGCAGTTTAGACTTGATATATACATGTAAGATGACACTGTCTGTGTGTCTTTCCATTTGAATGAATCCAATTATACTTTAAACTTAAATTGATACCTGGGTACACTGAGAAATGGCTTCGTCCAGTGCCAGTGCTCGCTTTTTGACATCTTCCTTAATTTTACTGTAAAGGGTGTCAGCTGCCACATATTTCTCTTGGATAGAAAAACCTTCTCCTGGGCTCAGCTCCAGCAACTGAGGCCCAGTTTTGTTCATCTTATCTATATGAGGCTTGTGCTCAGCGATCAGCTCACGCAGTTGCTATAACAAACGAAACAACTTATCAGTTTCTTATGCTTGCATCACCACATTATAGCTGTCCACACTTCTAACACATCCAACTGGCAAGAAATTCCAAACAAATACCCTTCATCCTAATGCAAAGCACAAATAATATCAAATAAAGTTAGTGACTGCTCTGCCAGTTATGGTTCCCATTCCAACGCAGAGCTATCCAGGCATGAAACATCACAATTAGAGACGTGCTCAAAAGGTCCGTGCAATACTCTTGTAGGACATGTGATTACAGGTAAAATATAAGATGCTAACTATGCATGTGATGCTGGCAACAGACACTCACCATCATACTTAGTACCTATAATGACAGAAATGGCAACAATATTCCAACACTACCATGTATATAATTTTCATGCTGGTATTTGTCACTTGCTCCAAAGCATTCCATTGAAGAACATCACAGAAACCTCTACCAGCATTGCAAGAGTATTAATTCAAATTATCCTTCATGTAAGAAGAGGAAACTAGCACAAGGAAGGGTCAAAGGAATCAGTGAAAAGGACAAGGAAGACTGATCAGTAGAGACCGATCAACCTAGTTTAGCAGTCTCCCCTCCGGCCACAAGACCCCTCTGTCTTCACAACAGTGCCATTACTTAACTGACACAAAGTTTAACAAGTAATTAATAAGTAAATTGAATTTGATCTCAGCTGTCTACTACCTCTCATCATCCCCCGGCCCGAAGTAAGACAAAACTGTTCAGAAGACTCTGCAGAGGCTTGTGGAAGTGAAAGACCAGATGTCTTCCAAATTACCTAAAGATTTTGGTTTTGTTTACTTGCACCCTTAGATCTGGCAAAAGTGAAAGAATTTTGTAGGAGTAGCCCTATCCTTCCCTCCAGTTTTATTTATTTCCTCAGGTCATTCCTCCCTTTTCAGAAAAATCCTACTGTCTTGTGAGGCACTGTCCCTCTCAGTGCTGTGAACTCCACACTTTTCTATCATATAGCCCCTGTGCAGGAACAGGAGAGGCACATGCTCTGTTCCTTCCGGCTCAGAGTCTGTTTAAATTAATGAAGACCCAGAAAAGGGCCTGTATCAGTCTCAGTGTAAATAAATCCTCTTCTCTTCAACTAAGGCCCTTAAAAAGAAATCCTGATACTGGCTTGCTTACTTGTCCCTCCCCAGAAGAGGAGAGGCTGAGAAGATTGAAAAGACAGTGACTGTGACTCTCCACAGTGCCCTGATGACAAAACAGCAACAAAAATCCAAAATGCCCTGACTCCAGCTACTTACTGAGAATCTAACTCCACTTGCACACCTTGCAACAAGAAAAATGTTGGTTAGCAGAGAAGAGGAAAAGGTGAAACTAAGGACAGTTTGAAAGTTTTTAGAAAATAATTTTGTGTGTTTTGGTTTTGTGCACAAACAGATGATATGACAAAAGGCCATAAGAATACTACTCTGCCCACAGCTCAGTTCAAGCCAAACTGACTGCGTGTTATTCACACAGAATCAAGTCTATGAATTCCATAACTCGGAAAAAAAGATAGCAACTGGCAAATACATGAGAACAAAAACGTAAGAGAATATAGAAAACTGTTTTCAATTCACATTCAGAACCTTTTTTCTTTTTTTTCCTTTTTTTTTCTTTTTTTTTAACAGAACAAAAAATTATTTAGTCTTCTCCATGATCTACTATTGGGTAAACAATTCCAGTAAACAAGTATTTCAGATCAGACTACGTGTTAAAGTTGCCTGACATTAATCTTCTACTTAGCAAACAAATCTCAGCTAATGGCATAGCCCAGGGAAAATGCAAAAATAGGAGCTCATCTGAAGGGCTTCCCATGCAAGCAGAATGATTAAAGTAGATGGGGAACAATCCTGTAAGTAAAGGATGATTTGGTTCATGGTGACTAATCAAGATAGCTTGTAAAGCTCATGTTATATAGCTAGTCTTAAAAGAGCATGTTTGTTCATTGTGGACATAATAGGAATAGAAATGAGTGAACCCAGTGTTTATCAGTACGTAAGAGTGGCACATCTTCATTAACTGGCTTCAGAGTAAACAAGACTTTGAAGCCAGGGTTCATCCTATCTAACTTGAGTCACTTAATTGAAGCAGCTAAAATAAAAAAAAAAAAACTAGTTACTCTGTGCTCAGTAGGGAGAGATGGGTATCTCCAGTAGCCATATGGGCTTTGCATGTGACAAAACATGCAGGTATTTAACCTCAGTGGGATACATCTGATTCCATGTGATGCTGGGACCCATATATGAAGAGTACTAATTTTTATCCCAGCTGATTATTCCTCCATGTAAGAAAGCCCATATGGTGGACAGCCTACAACACTGTTGCCTCTATTTTGTGATGTTATGGTAAACAATTATTCCTTTTAGTTATTACTTAACAAACATGCTTGACATGAGGAATGATTATGGGATTGGCTGGAATCCAAGCAATCAATTCTTGGCCCTCTAACTGTCCATCTTCCTGGCTCAGCTAAGTTTAGTTTCAATGATACCAACAAAACAAAAGCCAAAATTTTTACGTGTACGCAAGATCAACATATGTGCATATTTGTATACAGATTACACAAAGACAGCATTTCACTTTCAGCATGCTGACAGCAGGTACTCCAGTTCTTTAGACAGTCATGTTTTACTTTCTTTTGTTTCTTGCTACAACATCCCACGTCTGTTCTTTCTGTTTATGGGTTTGGTTTGTTCTAATACTGTCACTAATGTGTACTTTTAAATACAATTCTTAACTACTAACATTTGTGTGCTCAGTCCTCTCACTACAATGGCAACTTTTTTCCCCTTTAGCCCTATTTTATGCTTACAAGTTGTTTGCTGTCTTCACCAGAGAATCTTGTTCGCATGCACAGTTTGGGAAACAGTGTATGCATGACTGAAAATGTATTTATTTTGTACTATTATTTTAAACAATTATTTTTTCAACAGAAGTATAACTGACTGGGTTTTCAGCATTTAGCAGAATACTCCATAGTTCTAAGCAGAATACTTCTTTGCTTTTTGCAAAACGAGCAAAATGCTTACCCTATGCTCTTCTTGTTGTTGCTTTAAAGTTTCATATTCAAGGGCTGGTGCAGGAAGCTGAGAGATGATCATTTCTGTTTCAGTTAACCATGGCCAGAGCTCTTCATAAGTCTCCCAGAACTGGTTAACCAGGGACTGAGCCCGTTCCAGCTGGAGGTTTCTCTCAGAGTTCATTTGACAGACTGCATCATATTTCTGTAAGAGGCTTTCCATTTTTTTCTGTAAAATAATATTAACAAAAAATAGCAATGCATATTTTTCCACATGTCTATTACCTTCATTTCGAAACAAACTTTGATAATTATAGCACCAAACCACAGTGAAACAAATCTTAGTTTTGATAATGTTTCTACACTAATAGTGTTTAAGGTGGACAGAATCAATATTGTGGGAGATTGGAATCTGGCAGAGTACTTTCAAAGTAATTAGAACATATGTAATGATAGTGGTATTTACAAATAACACTTTATTCGTAGGGCTTCCAGTGAAGCTGCAAATGATTTGACTGCAGATCTTCACCCCACTTCCCTACTGAAGATGCTTATCTTCAGTGATTCTTGGCACAAACTAAGTTTTCCACAGCATTTCTGAATCAAAGCATCATGAACAATACACAAAAATCTGTTTTTTTAAAATCTGGCAAGAGAATAGGGTATACTGTTGTGCTTGTAGCTTACAAACTTGCAACAGAAACCACAAAACATTATTTTCCAGGTTTGCATACATTAATTAATGAGGATGTGTTACAATTAATAATACTATAGAAGTATAAAGTAAAAACATTACAAATCTACTGTATTTGAGCATGTGATAATAAAAGAAAGTGTCAACTAGCTATACATTTTTCCTGTGGAAGACTGCCCATGTTATCATTTTTATGAAATATTATATGTGACAATGCACATAAATGCTAGCCCTGGAAAAACTAGACATGTGAGCAAGCCATTGAATGTGAAGTAAAGAATCTTTTTTGGCAGAACAAGCAATCCTTTCATTTGTTATGTCTTCCATGTAAATTAAGTATAGAGATGCTATCCAAAGGACAAAACATAGCCTAACACACAGACATACAGTATTTTGACAAATAAAATATTTAATAGACACTCACATAAAATTGCTCTCCCTTATGACTACAGTTTCACAGACAGAACATCTCATCTATTTTAAATTCACTTAAGAGCAAATTGAATTTATTCAAAGATCCTGCACCAGAGCACAATTAGTGAAATACTGTTGCTCAAGGCGGGTGGACATTGGAAGGACTAAATTTACACAACATATCCAGCCTCACCATAGCTTAGCAAAAAACCCCCAACCCCACAACTAACCCATTCTTAAATGCCAACACGAAAAAAACCTGTCCACATATATATAGAGCTCCAACATCAGGCTCTGTGTGTGTGTAATAAACAAAGGCGTAAGAATGCCTTTCATGGGCTGTGTTAGTCAACGGGATGGAAAAATCTTGGCATGTAAGGTCTACAATGAAATCAGCAGAAATGAAAGTGGAGATTCACACTGACGTTCACAGCAATTGAATCTGGCACAGAAATACACATGCCCAGAGCGTCATTGACCCAAGAGAACTGGGGAAGATAAACAGCCAGATTCCACACACACCACCCCAGATGACTAATACCTATTCACCCAATCGTCCATTGGCTAAAATACTATTTACCATGGATGAAGATGATAAACAGGGCTCCAAATTAGTGTCCGGCAATGAAACAAGTACATGGTATATGCTCTCTAAACATCCGAAAGGAAAGAGAGTGATACACAACATCATTTCTTCTAGTATTACAATCCTCAGACTAGAAGAAGCTGTAATTAATGCCTTTTCATTAGTATTTCAAAAAAGACACTATAGGAATACTTCTACTTATATATTGTCTGCATATCTACTGCTGTAGCTGCAATTTAAGGAACTTTACCTTCATGGTCTGTTTCTCTTCTTCAGTGCACGTGTTCATAATCTTATCCCCAGATTTAACAAGTTCATCTATAGTATCTTTGTGCCTCAAAATCTCCATGGTAAAAGCCTTGAAACACAATAACAATTGGTCAGAAAAAAAAAATAGAGTAGATGGAGCAAAAACTATTTTTGAAGTGCATTATGATGGACTGAAAATTAAATCATGCCAGTACATTTTCTAGATGGAGAGTGTGCTGGCCAATAATTAACATGACAGTTGGAAATGCATTTCTTTTACCTTTTGAACTTGTAGCTGAGCCGTGGTCTGGTCTTGCTCAAGCCTAATATCACCCAGAGACATCAGTTTCTTCTCTGTTTCTGCAATCCAGGCAAATTCAGCATCAGCTGCTTGATCAAACTAAATTAGGGAGACATGAATTAGTTCAGTGGTTCTATAGACATGAAATTACAATGACTGTTTCTAAAATTTTAAAGATTAAAAAGCATACTTTTGAATCGTTAGAAAGACAGGCTCACTTTCCATATGAGGTTTTTAAATGAAATACAAAGCCCAAAATGGTTCTAAGGGATTGTAATACAAGCAGCTTAAATCGTAAGCATGACAAAGCAACAGAAGCAAACACATTTTTCCAAAGCCTACAGCTCTCTAACAGACCATAAGAAAATAAAAAGGGTTATCAATTCAGAATTTTAACCAGACTGTTTATTTTCATTTTATTCCACTTTCACGTGTCTTTTCCATCTCTGTTTATTATTACTGCTAGTGTTGCAATTATCCTAAGAAACAGTTGTTTGATGTTATCCTTTTAATCTTAAGAGCTGCTTTGGTATTAAATGATAAAGGCAAAACAATCACAATTCAACTAAGTCAGTGGGAAAACCTCACTGAATTCAGAAAAGACAGGATTTCATTCAAAGCTAGACCTTGGATTAAATGCGAAAATTCCTCGGGGCATTTGGGTGCAGTCAGTCCTTTTCCTAAAGGATTAACTTTTGACTGCCATTAGTCAACACTTAAATGTTTCAGAAATTACCTCAGATCACTAAAGTAATGAGAGGATTTAAAGGACCTGTTTCTTAGTAATTTGTGAAGGAAAGCATGAGATCCTGAAAAAAAGCACGTAGAGATCTAATTCTTCTGAAAAGTAAGACCAATTTAAAAAAAAAATAATCATTCATTCTCTCTTTAGCTCAAGTTTATAGGCATGTATCTTAGCACACACATGTTGCAGTACTCAATGGTGTAGCTTTGCGCTAGAGAAATATTTTGCCATAGAGAAATATTACATACAATGATCAGATGCACAAAACAGTCATCACAGATACTGCTAAGAACTTATTTATTTATTTATTTATTTTAAAAGTTGAACCCCACTGGAGTTAATTGAACATTAATACAGTTCTGAGTTATTGTGAAAGTCTATCAGGATGTTTTAGGCCAGAACCTGGTACTTGTGTTGTTGATATCCACACTTTCCTCAGAAGTCTCCTTCTGACCACTCTCAGTCCCTCTTGTCTTTTAAATATGCTGGTCTGTGCCTCTGTGGCTGTAGACCATGATAGCCCTGCTCCAGTAACATAGCTGGAGTTCACTTTAGCCACTAAATCAGTCTTGTCTTAGTGGTTAATCATGAGTCACACAAAAACAAAAGAAGCAGTTCTGAGATTTCATTCTTTAGGAGTTAATTTCAGCCTTTATAATCCATTTGTTACATGAAAGAGAGCACAAAAATTCTTTTTCACTATATGTCATTTCTCATTTAAAGTAACAAAAAGTAAGTTTTGTCTTAAATATTGTGACTTCCTAATAGAAAGGTATGTTCTGAAACAACCAGTACTGTAAACATTAGCACAGAGCACACGCACCAATGGTAGTTAAATCCTGGCTTTAGAAACTGCAGTTCACAACCAAGCTCTTCAAAAGCCCATCTATTTATGTTCCAAATGAAGGAAATTAAGAAGGTGATTTCAAATGTGTTAGATGTACAAACTAACTGCAATGTGATTTCCTAGTACCAAATATGCATGGGTATGTAAGTAATATTGAACAAATATTTAATGGAAATAACAAAATCAAGGCATGGCAGTGAAACTTCTAGGTTACATAGCATCAAGGAAGGACAAGATTCTAAACTGCTGAGCGTATAGGATTTCCAGTTTGTGATGTTCAAATATAACATTAAGGAATAAAAAGCACAAAATTGATACTCTTTGCGTCCAAAATTTGAAGTGTTTTCTTCCCATTATGCATGACAGTTATTTATGAGCCCAGAACTTCACTTGAGTCACTACAGAATCATCTATTTCGTCCCCACCCAGTTTAACCAAGCATAGTTCATTGTGGTACTTTTTCTTCTAACCAGGAATGATTGACTTCTGAATATGGTGACATTGTGATTTGCTCCACGAATACTTTCTAAAGCACGCTCTATAGCTGCCTTGGAGTGAAGAACAACAAGTAAGCCAAAAGTGGAATATGACCTTCTGTTTCTATGTAGCACTCCTTTACCGGGGGTAAGACACCAACCAATGCCTTCAGTATTGAGAAATGAAGATTAAAACATGTAGCTAAATCTATCTCTAGGATAATTTTATCCATCTGGGAGTATTTTGTCCAGGTAGATAAAAAATAGGACATTGCATTAGTCTATTAAGCTTTCCAGCTTCTGTTCACAACATGAAACAATATACTTACCTGTTCATACAGCTTACTGCATTACTCACCTTGGCCCAATAACATCTAGCACGAACCCCACACTACTCCCACTGAACCCTCATGTTCTTAGAGGCTTTGTCCTCCACCCAAAACTTTTTAATAGTACAGGCACTTGAACATGTTGCCACAGGGTAAGCTTACAGACCACTAGATTCTCCAAAAATATTTTTAATTTTGCATGGTCTTTCTCTCAGCTAAATGGAAAGTAGCTTATCCTTCACTGGAAGCGTGTTAAGCCACTCGATATTTATCATAGGATATAGTGTATAGGAGTATATTGTGGTGATGTCAGTTGGGCTGAAGTGGAGGTTAGGGGTATGCAGGACTGGGGTGCAGCTCTGTACCTTTCATGCTCGGACCCGAATCTGCTGAACTTGTGCTAGGGGTTGCAACATACTCGCAGAATTCAGAAAAGTTGAAGGAGAGCCAACGTATACTCTCCTATCTCACCTTATCACACACTAAGAAAATCACCCTTCATTTTTGAGGACTTGCTTAATAAGACAAAGTAATAGTCACAGCAAACCCTCCATACTCCAACTGAAAAAGAGACATTGGCAGCATATGAAGGGATTCAAGCTGCTTTGGAAGTGATTGATACAGAAGCACAGCTCCTTCCAGCACCCCAACTGCCAGTGCTGGGCTGGATGTTCAAAGGGAAGGGCCCCTGTACATATCACGCAACTGATGCTACGTGGAGGAAGTGGGTCACACTGATCACATAGCAGGCTCAAATAGGAAACCCCAGTCGCCCAGGTATCTTGAAAGTGATCATGGACTGGCCAGAAGGCAAAGATTTTGGAATATCGCCAGAGGAGGAGGTGGCACGTGCTGAAGAGGCCCCACTGTATAATAAATTACCAGAAAAAGAGAAGTAATATGCCCTGTTCACTGAAGGGTTCTGCTGCCTTGTGGGAAAGCACTGGAGGTGGAAGGCTGCTGTACAGTCCTATACGACAAACTGCTGAAGGAGAAGGGGAATGGAGTCAGTTGGCAAAGGTGAAAGCCATCCAGCTTGCTTTAGATATTGCTGAATGAGAAAAAGTGCCAGTGCTCTATCTCTATACTGACTCATGGATGGTGGCAAATGCCCTGTGGGGGTGGTTGCAGCAATCGAAGCAGAGCAATTAGCAATGCAGAGGCACACCCATCTGGGCTGCTGTGTTGTGGCAAGATATTGCTGCCCGGGTAGAGAATCTGGCTGTAAAAGTATGTCACACAGACACTCACATACCCAAGAGTCGGGCCACTGAAGAACATCAAAACAACCAGCAGGTGGATCAGGCTGCTAAGATTGAAATGGCTCAGGTGGATCTGGACTGGCAACATAAGGGTGAATTATTTATAGCTCAGTGGGCCCATGAAACCTCAGGCCACCAAGGAAGAGATGCAACATACAGATGGACTCGTGATCAAGGGGTGGACTTGACCACAGACACTATTGCACAGATTATCCATGAATGTGAAACATGCACTGCAATCAAGCAAGCCAAGCAGGGAAAGCCTCTCTGGTATGGAGGACAGTGGCTGAAATATAAATATGGGGAGGCCTGGCAGATTGGTTATATCACACTCCCACAAACCCGCCATGGCAAGTGCTACGTGCTCACCATGGTGGAAGCAAACACAGGATGGCTGGAAACGTACCCTGTGCCCCATGCCACTGCCCGGAACACTATCCTGGGCCTTGAAAAGCAAGTCCTATGGTAACACAGCACCCCAGAGAGAATTGAGTCAGACAACGGGACTCATTTCTGAAACAGTCTCATAGAAAAATGGGCCAAAGAGCATGGCATTAAGTGGGTCTATCACATCCCCTGTCATGCACCAGCCTCCGGGAAAGATGAACGATACAACAGACTGTTAAAGACTACACTGAGAGGAATGGGCGCTGGGACATTCAAGCACTGGGATACACATTTAGCAAAGGCCACCTGGTTAGTCAACACTAGAGGATCTGCCAACCGAGCTGGCCCTGCCCGATCAAACCTCTTACATATCGTAGAAGGGCATAAAGTTCCTGTAGTGCATGTAAAAATATGCTGGGGAAGACAGTCTGGGTTACGCCTGCCTCAGGCAAAGGCAAACCCATCTGTGGGATTGCTTTTGCTCAAGGACCTGGCTGCACTTGGTGGATGGTGTGGAAGGATGGGGAAGTCTGATCTGTACGTCAAGAGGATTTGATTTTGGGTGAAAACAGCCAATCACCTAAGTTGTATGATGTTAACTGCTGTATAATACCGTATGTCATCACTTTCATGACTGCTATATGCCTTATCAATGATATTACTGTAAGAGTCATCCAGATTGATGAAGAATGAACTCTGATAGAACCAGACAAGCGCAGTGGTGATGGAACCAGAACTGGCTTCAGCATGCAACAACCCAACACAACACACCATCTCTCCTGCCCTGAAAGACTGTTACAACAGATGGAACCCGAGGTCATGGACTAAATGAACTCAACAGACATTTCAGAGGGATGGCCTATAGACTAAAGGAATGATATCTGTGTGTTTATATCAGAAGACAAGAAAACTGGTGGTGATTAATTGGAATGTAATGGAAAGCATGGGACCTGGGCATGATGTAGATGGTATAGAATTAGGGGTGGATACTGTCCTGGTTTCGGCTTGGATAGAGTTAATTTTCTTTCTAGTATCTGGTATAGTGCTGTGTTTTGGATTTAGGATGAGAATAATGTTAATAACACACTGATGTTTTAGTTGTTGCTAAGCAGTCGAGTACTTTTCAGCTTCTCATATTGGCCTGCCAATAAGAAGGCTGGAGGTGCACAAGAAGCTGGGAGGGGGCACAGCCAGGACAGCTGACCCAAACTGGCCAAAGGGCTATTCCATACCATATGATGTCACGGTCAGTATAGGTCAGTATAGAAGCTGGGGGGGTAGTTGGCCAGAGCATGGCCACTGCTCAAGGACGGGACGAGCATTGGTTGATTGGTGGTGTGCAACTGTTTTTCTCGTTTGCATCACTTGTCTTTTTTGGGTTTTATTTCTCTCTCTTTTTGTTATTTTCCTTTTCATTACATTTATTATTACATTTATTATTACTGTTGTTATTATTATTATTATTATTTTTCAATTATTAAACTGTTCTTATCTCAACCCACAAGTGTTCTCACTTTTACTCTTCTAATTCTCTTCTCCATCCCACCAGGGGTGTGCGTGTGCGCATGTGTGAGCGAGCAGCCATGTGGTGCTTAGCTGGTGGCTGGAGCTAAACCATGACAAACTTGAAGTTATTTTTAACCTCACAAGGAGATCTGAGTTACTGCCAGCCTCTTTTAGTCGGCTTTCAGCAAACTTTGAAAATATCATACGTGCTTTCTCCTTGTCCTGTTACAACTATTTAAGGGAACTATTAGCAGAAACAGAAATCTCCACTGATATTTTTATATCTGAGCTGTAGGCAGACACTGGAAAATTGTGTTTCCACTATGCATCTATAAGCAAGCTTAAATACACTACTATTTAGTGATGAAATTAGAGTGCCAGTTCTCAAAGTGTACCCATATATATACCTCTGTGCGTGTATAGAAACCTCCACATATTAACTCAACTTTTGAGCCCCAAGAAGAAAACCATTGTGGATATGAATAAAAGTAATTGTTATTTAAATCCCCCACTACAGCTTGAACAAGATGATCCAGCTTTTAATTGTGGAAAATACAGGGGAGGCAGACAATCAGCTGATGCTAAAAGGTGTGGCAACCCTAGTGATTTCAATGTTGCATCCAGTAAAATTGGCTGGGGATCTGTACCATATTTTACTTAACACAACGTGACCTAGAAAAGACATGGGCAATTCAGTTCTTACCTAAGCAAACTCCCACTTAAGGAGCCACAGGATAGTTACAACAATTTTAGGTACAAGACTGCTGTTTGTGTCAACAAAAAGGCAGACAACTACAGCAGCGTACAGATTAGCTGAGTTCTGGCATTCGCATCTTAACAGTAGAGTCCCATGTCATTCAAAAAGGCCTTTTGCTGCTCAAGCACAACAAACATTGTTGAAGGACATCTTTTGTTCAGGTACACATGGCTAGAGACTGTTATTGCCCAAATAACATTTTTCAGTACCTGCTGGGATCTCAGGATGGCAGCATCAATCTCATCCACCTTCTGAGAGATCGTGTCACTCACTAATCTGTAACGTTCATTGTCCTCTGTTATCATCTTGTCAAGCCCCTCTCTGGCCCTCCACGGCACCAGCTCCAGGAAGGCACTGCCAACTTCATTCAGAGTGTCCAGTAAGCCTTTGTTGTTCTTTGCTTCTTTTTTCAACTCCTGAAAAACGCCATTTAAAGTAAACATGCTAGCATACAAGCTGAACACACACAGCTTACACATTTTTTTATTCTTTCAACTACTCCATGAGTCGAGAACTGAAATGTTTTCCATGCAAACCAAAAGGATAAATTAGCACACTTATTTTCAGTTCAGTTCTATTAGCTTTTGATAACTGTAAGCTGTTTGGCAGAAAAGTGGGTGATTCTTGAAGAGAATTTTCTAGACAGCGTATCTTAAATCTATTTCTTCAGTCAGTATGACAGTCCAAAATTCTTTCTAATTTTCTAAGAGTTGTCAGCACTTAATGAAGCAACCAAAGAAAATAAAACTAACAGGTATTCTTTGTAACCTGCAACTCCAAAAGGAACCAAATCACCAGCAAGTGAGACCAGGCATGCAATAAAGCAAAAGATGATGATTTCAAGTGATTTCTTGAGTAAGCAATGACTGGATTAAATTCCAATCAAATCATCACACAATGCTTCAGGTCCGAGTTTCCACCTGTAGAGAACCCCCCAACACCCTGTTTCATTTGGTTTTATATATGTAAGAAATTTACTGGAAAGGCTTTTTTTTTTTTAGCTTCCCCTCCCTCAACATTGTCTGCACCATCCAGATTATACTACAATTTTTCTTTTGAAATAAATATGGTTAAACAAGATTAGTAATATGTATTTTCAATGCTGACTCTTTTCATACTTTACAGGATTTTATCCATGTCACAACTAAAGAACCAAAATAACTTTGTTTGACAACTTGAGAATTTTCCCAGGATTAGGTAGCTGCTTGAATAAAAAGGAAATGTTGTGCTTCTCTTGTGCTAAAAATAAACCTCAGCCCAATTTCATAAGTGATTATAACAGATGGCTCCGGAAAGCGAGTTTGATTCTTAACTACTGTTACATTTAGTTAAATGATCTGATGCCAAAATTATTTATTCACAAAACAACTTAATGCCAAACGTAAATTAACACAAAGCCTAGCTGAATCATACAGCAATAAATAATTCACAGGTTCTAAAACCTACTTTTTGTCTTTCTTGTACTTGGCTTAATTCTTCACCCTTTGGTATTTGAGTTTCATATGAGAGTAACTCCACCTCCACTTCGTCAAGCCATTTAGAGAGTTCCTCGTGAGTTGAGTGCAGTTGGCCTGCAAGCTGCAGAGCCCGCTCTAAGGTCTTGGATACATCAGAACTCAATTTTGTAATGTCCTTATATCTCACTTTAATGCCTTCCAGTTTATCTTGAATTATTACAACTTCATCACCTAAAATACCAGAGGGATGTTATTTCCTGTGATCATAAATATTTAAAAGCAAAAAAACCCACAAGACCAACCAAACCCCAAATCCCAACCCCCAAAGAAATCTTACTATTTAACTTATAAAATAACCCAAACAAGATGACAAGGTCAATCCTCTACTGTTGTAAATTATCCTACCATCACTAAAGAGTCCACAGAGCTACAAAGTTTACCTCAGCTCAGGATCTGTCTTTCTGTCTTTTTTCTGCTTTACTAAACTATTAGAAAGTAAGGACTTAGATCCAGCATTTAACACAAATGTTCTTAAAAAAAAAATCCACCCTTAAATTCATAATACTTACAAAAGCCAAAAAAACCCCACCCCAAACTATAAAGGGGTTACTGAAAATGGGAAGAAAAAAAATCAACAAAATACTAGCTAGATTTTCAGTTACAGTAGTATTTGACATCACTGTACACCCTCATTACTATCATTCTGAAACACAACTCAAAAGGCTAAAATAAAAACAACCTACTGAAATTTATTACTGTATATTCAGATTTCATTAGAGACGATGCATAATGTCTAAGTTTGGAACAGAAAAGGATACTCCCCCGCCCTCAACCACATGTGTGTCTTAGTAAGAGTTCAAGTACTGGAAAATCTGGACAGGTGTTGATCTACAGAACAGACACGTTGTGTACAACTGGAATGCAACTTTTCCCACTGTATTAGCTCCAGTGGATGAAGCTTTCCTCTTGCAGTAAAAGGTAGTCTAATATCTCGTTCATCTGTGGATGCCTACAGGGAATTCACTGCGTCCACTGCCAAACAGCCCTCCATTATGAGTAATGTCCATAACTTGCTATTAGGAATGGAATGCAGGTTCACTAAAATAATTTTCCACTAAAAATAATAAAGGATTCAAGGGCCAAATTCTCTACAGGCAAAAAAAGGACTTTTGCTCAGTTACATTAATAGTAAAATTGGCCCAAAAACATAACCTACTTTGACCTCAAACCTTTATTAAAATAAACGACTGTGACTGCTTTAACCAGCAAATATGGACTAATATTTACAAGTTCCCCTTTAATTTTCTCATATGCACTTAAAAGTACAAGAAAAAAAGCCTGGTGAATCATAGTTTTACATAAGCTCTCACCTGTTGTTTGCTTGAGAAGCTCTAAGCCATTTTGTATAGCTAAATCAACATTTTGTTTTCTAAGAAGAATCTCTTCCTGAAGATCCTAAGTGAAAAGGCCATTTGTGTTAGCACAGACATAACAAGTTATATTACTTTTATTTGGGATAAGCATATTGCCATTTAAAACAAAATATACTAATGAAAAATAAATGAAATATAAATAAAATTTAAAAATGAATTAAAAATAATAAATTAACAGAAATCAAAATACCAGTAGTTCAGAGTGCTGTTTCTCAAGTAATTCTGTGTTGCAATCTTGAACTGACAATTTGCTCAGTTTATCATGGATTTCATTCAGCCAGTTCATCAATTCAACTTCGTCCTCTCCAAAAATCTGAGCATTGCTGTAGGCTTGCTGGAGAAGTTCAGACCTGCTGTTGCTCTTCTCTTGAATCTCAATGTATCGGGCCTGAGAAGAATCTAGTTTTTCCTGCACCATATCTTTATCTTCCCTGGAGCTCATAGTCTTTAGAGACTGACCAGTGCTAATGGCCTGATGTAAACTCTTATTGTGAGCTAGGACATCATCTTCTAGGGCCTATATTTTTTTAAATAATGAAGAATAATGGAAAAGAAAATCAGAAAAACATAAAAGAAACGTAAGTGAAACTCAAAAAAACTGAACGAAAAAGGACATATTGTCAACGTAAACATATAAAACTCAAATTACAGAAAAAGAAAAATCAGTATGGTAAAACACAGGTGCACCGCAACAGCTTTGCCAGTTGTGTTGTACTTTGCAGAAGCATCTAATAAAAAGAATGACACAAGCAAGTGTGTGGTTTGTATCTTACTTTATGCTGAGAAATTTGCTGCTGCAGTTTGGAGGCCTGAGTTCCAATGGGTTCTGCATTTGCAAGCCTCTTCTCTGTGGCAGTCAGCCACTCCACCAGCGGCTCCAGAGCTTCATGGAACTGCTGCGCTACCACCAAGATGCCTTCCAACTGACGGTTCCTATCAACAAGCCAAGAGGAAGGTTATTTTTAGTCATTAAGTAAGCATGAAATAGTTAAAAAAAAATAAAGCCCCTTGAATCCTCTGCAAAAAAAGAAAAAAGGAAATAATTCTGTCTTGTTGTAGGAACCAGTCACCAAATGAAATAGAAATATATCCATGACACTCAATGAAAACCATGGTAAAGTAAAAATCAGCTGTCTGAAACTCTTTTAGCTAATTTGCAAATTTTACAAATAAAAAGAATATCACTCTATTCATATACTTTTTTGCTAAAAATAATTTAGCACTCAATTCAGCAAAACGTTGTTTATACCCAATTAGGATAGTTCTCCAGTTTCTAGCTGTCTTTAAGCATAGAGTTACATTCCCTTGACTAATATATATGTTTTAAAGTTAGGCAAAGGCTTTACTGAACCAGAACATATTGTCATGCTTCCTCAGCATTGTAAAATATCTTTAAGCATTTGTTCAATGATGTGAACAGAACTATTTGGCTCTACTTTTGCATCTCTTGTTCTGGCTAAAAGCTCTCAATTAAGTTAGCGAGACACATTAATAAAGCACAGGGACTTGACCTCCAAAATAAAAAAGCAGTATCTAAAATATTTCTCTTTCAGATTATTACATTTCAGAGAAGGCTCTTGATTACAGGAAGAGTCTTCTCTACAACGACTGCTGAACAAATTTCATTCAAGCAGACCTTTAAGAGATATTTGACATATGTGAAAAACATCACAACATCGTCTTTCGAATAGGGATCTCACTCCCAGTAAAAGCTATGTTTATACATGCTTCCCAAGGCTTATAAACAAGGTAGACTTGACACGCTTAACTACAGAACACTTAGTGAAGTACTCTACACAGTCTTCAAAATCATCCCCAAATCTCCTCTTCATTTCTAGAGACTGACCAAAGAAAAATGGAGACGAGCTTGTGGCTACTGTATGGCTTGGAAAAAGTTGCAATTTGATTTTTAATGAAATATCACTAGACTGGGAGAATAATATTACATTAAACATGACATTAACATTTACCAAGCTAATGAGTCAGATTCCTTCAATAAAAAGAAAGAAGGAAATAATGGCCTATTAGTGGTTGCTTCTACTAATTAAATAATCGTATTATTAGTATGAGGTAACAAAGAAGTTCAGAGTAAAGGAGCCTTAGAGATGCTCAGAAAGAACCAGAGACAACAGAGGTGAGTTCAACGCTACTCTAAGCATCCAGATCCAAAAACATCCATTTATTCTTCACTGTAAAGCTTCACTGTTCACTGAAATTCCTTTTCTTCAACTTTCCAAGTCCTTTCTTGTTCTCAGTGATACATCTTTTTCAGGCCACCTCTTACGTACACTGTTCTCTCTACTCTGAAGGAGGCTGTCCCTTTTCAAATCCCCACCCAGAAAACACATTCAGCAACCCTTTCAACACAGATTTCTTCAAAGACACTTTACAGTTCATAACTTTCCAGGTATTTTATACATCAACAACAACTCATAAATCTAAGTGTGTGTATACACAGACACTGTGTGTATGCTTTTCTGGGGTTTGTTTTGTCTTATTTTCAATTGGAACTTGAATCAGACTGCAATGTCTTTAAGAGAGCATTTTCAGTGTTGCTAGAATATACCTACATACTTTGATGGTCTTTTTTCTTCTTGAGAACTAAGGGAGCTCAACACGTTCCATAAGTACATCACAGCAACTGACAGTAAGAGGATCTCTTAAGTTGTAGAAACTAATTATATGGATGACACCAAACAGAAAAGAGGAAGAGTTGAGTGCCCCCTCTTTGCAGCAGCATGTCTGGATTTTGAAGTTCCAAGGGAACATCATTATTATTTAAGTGTAAAATTTGCACTTGATACTATGCAAAACAGTTCTTGCAACACGAAATTTGCATTCTAAGGAACTAACAGAGATAAAATATTCAGAAGATACATATGCAGTTAATCCTAGCAGACTGTAGCATCTTAGGTTAAACTTTCTTTAAAAGCTCATTTGGTCTGTTCAAGTCACTTCTCTCCACTTTTCCTTCAGAGGACCTATTATATCATCATCAAGACATGATAATGTAATGTAATGTAATAACAAGAATGATAGTACTTACAAGATTTCACACTATAGAGTTCCACATGCTGCTTCTAATCATCTATTACACGCTATGTCTACATTTTTCAAATCTAGAAAGAATTTCAAATACCTTGTTTCAGCTTTACTGAGCAATGCATCCCATCGACTATCCAGGAAACTCAACTGTTTCAAGATTTTCACTCTATCAGCAGGTTCTGCTGACTCTGCAATTTTCTCCCCTTCGCGCTTGATTACCTCAACGGTAGGCTTGCGGTCATCCAGCAACCTCTGGAGAAGCTACAGAGAAAGCAATCAGGCACCAGGTTATTAAGAAACATGGTAATAACACAAGTGTAAAACCAGAAGGAGCTAGATTTCTTGAAAACCTGTTAAAGCAAAAAAAGAAAAAGCAATGCCTATATTGTGAGGAAAGCGTGAATAATGATAATCAGAGAGAGAGACCACAACTTACCCACCCACCCACCCCAAACACATGCATGTTTTAATTTCTCAATTGTTTTGCTATGAACAGCAGAGTTTCACCAAGCCAAAACTCACTCCTTGATTTCTGTGGGGTAAGGATATGTGGCAGCCTGAAGAATGAACATAGAGAGGACAAAGGCCTATTTAATGCCATTGAGGGAAAAAAGCTATTTAGAGTATCTGAGACATTTTATAGGAACATTTTTGAGAAAGTTGCACGCCCTTCTAAGATTTGGCAACACAAAGATTAATTCTGATACATATATAGATAGGAAAAATAGATATAAAAACTGCTGTGTAATCGACTCATCACTTGTCTGAGATACAGTTGAGTTCACTGATCTAGTCCAGTAAATTAACTTCTCCATGAAGAACAAAACAGACTTCTGTCTTAAAATCCTCCCTTCCTCCATTGTCTAATTGCCTTTGGCAACATTAACATTTTGCCTCTGCAGATATCCTAACATGACAACCTGTACTGACTACAAGTTTGTATTAAATCTCTGGGTGGCAGTGGACCACGGAGTTCAACCGCATGGACTGTATGTTTCATGAGCTACATGATGGTTCCTCCTTCTATAACCATTATGAAAATTTGCAAAAGTTGACAGCACTGATAGCGCTTCTGCATTAGCACAGGCCATTTCCCAACAGCATTCCAACTAATTACCAACAACGATTAGATCACAATCAGGATCAAGAGCCAAGTATTTAAGACCATAATCTGCCATATTACCTTGTAATTATGACAATGACAATTAACTAGGTTCTATTTCCTGCTTTCTAAATGGCCAAACACTGGATTTTATGCTTTCTCTTTTTCCAATAGACCTTTAACAATCCTTTCCAGATAGTGTTAGTAATTCTAACTAGAGCTCAGATTGCAAAGTGTCACTTTTTATCTTACGTCCCAGAAGATGAGCACCTCTCCCAACCCTGGACAAATTCTTGAGTATTAAACAGATGGCTGCTTTAAACTCCTCAGCACTCTTCAGTGTAATATAATATACTTGAAAAGATTTTATGCTTTGCCAAAGACTGGGAATTTATTCTCATTAATCCAGTGGAAGGAGAGATATTCTGAACACATTTCACTTACTTTCTGTTCTTGTATTTGGGCCTTCACAACTTTGAATTCAGCAGATGGTGGTTTCTGATTAGCCACAAGGTCTTCTGTGTCAATGAGCCAGCTAAGCAGAGATTCAAGGGCATCCTGAAATCTCCCACAGTGAAGGAGGGCTTCCTGCAATTGTGCAGCACGCTGGGCAACCTGGAAAAAAAGTAGAGGACTGAACTGTACTCACCTTTTCTTTTTATTCCTGTGAAAAAAAGTAGCAAAAATCTGTAGAACATCTGGGAATATCACTAACAAACGCTCTCCTTTTCATAGCTATTCATAACAGCACTATGGCACAATTTAGCATTAATCTCTTGAGGCTACAGACATCCAATGAAAAGGAGAGGTTGACTCCCAGTAAATCAGACTGCTCTAATAGTTCCTTACAAGAGCTACTCCTGTTTTATATAGTTACAGTATTATGAAGTATACTGACAGAATGTTTGTGTTTCAGATGGTCTGTATTTTCTTTATGTATTTCCTTATATTTTCCTGAATGAGCCAGGAACTGCAAGTAGCAACTCTTAATAAGAGGCAATAATCCCTTCAAAGGGAAAAGAAATAGGAAAGGAGAAGGCAAACAGGTGAACCACGGGTGTTTGTAGTTCTGCTGCATCACTCCTTCAGGAAGACAGAGTGGAGGAAAATGAGTGCCATTTCTACTTCCCACCCTTTCCATTTTCCAGCAGCAGCTAATGCTGGAAGAGGACTCTTTAAAAGCACAGAAAATCATCTACAGCCAATTTTCCAAAGCAGTGGTACCTCCTGATGTCTCAAGCAATACCATCCTTAAGGTGCTACAGAGGAAACGCACCGCTAGTCATGCAAAGCTGGGCGGTATCACCGCTCTGTGCACTGCGCAGGTACAACAGTATACACAAACAAATACAACAGAGTGAAAAACGTGTGAATGGAGACTGAAGAACTACTTGAAAACAGCTGGGTACAAATGACATAGCTACCCTTCCCATGAATGTGTCACAACTCCAACCTCTTTGGCTTACCAAACTTCCCTGCTCTGCTTAAGCAGGAAGAAACACATAGTCCTAGAGGAGTCCTTCCTGAATAAAAGTCCAGGAAAGACCTACAGAAAGGCTGACAAAACCTTATGAATCATACTAATACCTCTGGCTACCAGTGATATAAATCTTATCCTCAGAATTACCAACAAAGCAATTGTGTAAAGTAATGTAATTCATATTCTTAGTGAGTATTTAATTTCCTGCATTTTGAAAAGACGTCAGCAAGCAAATAATCAAAAAGCAGAACACAACAAAAGCAGAAAAGTATACAGAATAACCACCTTCTTATTAAGAGTCTTCCATCGGGTGTTGACATCTTCAAGGTCATGTTCAAGGTTTTCTGTGTTGGTACTTTTAGCAGCACTTTGAATAAGGCCTTGACCCAACCAATTTACCTCCTGTTGTTTTACTTGCAGTGGTTCAATTTCTTCCTTCTGGAATACCTGCAGTTGAAATCCAAGACACACATGAAATATTGTCTTTTCTGACATAAAACGCATCTGGTGTTTACATACAGTATGCAACAAAAAAAATGCTGAAAATTGGTGTCTAGAAGAAAGGAAACCATTCCTCATCACCACCTTCCTAAAAAAAAAATTAATACAGCTAAACAGAATAGACGCAATCTAAACAGAGTAAATGCAATCCACCATAGAGGGAAAATTATGTACATTTCCATGAGTAGTTTTAGACAGCAAGGAAAGTGAGAGAGTGAAGGAGGGAGAGCTGGGGGGAGGGGGAATGGGAGAAAAAATAAAGAACTTCTAGAAACTCATCTATGTGTTTAATTGTCTATCTACAAAGTCTACCAAAAAATGGCACAGAAGGATTGTTAAGTTGTCCTAAAATAAATAAACAAACACACACAAAGAGAGACAACTGGGCATTTTTTTCCAAATTAGGACACAAGCAAAAGTTTGAAGTTAAAGAAGCAGTGAAGGAAGAGATACTTTAAGGTAGTTTTTTAGGAGAACATAATGGTAACAAGAGAGGAGGAGGCACTACAGATGCTGCTGAAACAGTATCCCAGCAGACGCCCAGGAGAATGGGTTTTCATTCAGAGGGATATTCCTGCAAATTACCAGGGCTTTGACCTTACCCAAACAGCAGTTTGAGCAATTTTCTGTTTGCTTTATTTTACTCTTTCAGGTATTTAAGCTTTTTCAGAGCCAGATTATTACCATTAGCAACAGCAATGTAAATCTCCATTTGTATTCAGCTGCATTAGGCTGCACTGACACCAGTGTCAATGAGATCAGAAAATGGCCTGAAGCCCCTGAATTAATTACACAGGCCAGTGAAAAATAACCAATGAATAAACAATGCTAAAGAATGCTCAACTTTTGACCCTAAACCCTTCTATTTCTATAGCAGCATTCAGCAACAGTTTTGGTGTACACTTAGTGCATTCAAAGCAACCTTTCTCAGCATCCAGAAAAGCAGGGATCACTTTGAACATACCAGTGACTCTCCTCTTTTGCACCAAACACAGCGTGGCAAGTGATTGCTTTTAAAGCAGCAGACCTCAGGTGGCTGAGCACGCTTCCAACTAGCTTGACAAGTCAATCTAGAAACCAGAGCAACTACATGGAACACGAGGGGTAAAATAAATTAAGCACCCCTAAGAATTTTGTTCTTACGGACAAAAAAAAAAAAAAAACCAAACCCCTGAACACTGTGAGTCTGTGGTTACATGAAAACTGAGAGAGTGCAACCAGCTGGCTGCTCCCAGAAAAACGCTTGTGTTTTTCTTGACTGTAGGGTAGGGAGGAGGCAGAATAATATTTCCACACAGAATCAATAACAAATTCTTCTTTTATGTGCCATAAAGCCTCATCTTTTGTGAGCAACGTCCTACCACAGAGAGGACTGATCTCCATAATCTGCCCTTTAAAAACGCATGCATTCTTTGCAGAGAGAAGCTTAAAATAAATTACAATTATTGCTGAGGCCAAAGTTTACCAGAACAACTTAGCAACAAAGCTTGAAGTATCTCAGATTTCAACCAGAGTGGGAAGAAAAAAATTACAGACCCGACGAACACCCTTTCCGTATTACAAAGCTTCACTTCTAACTCTCTTACCTCATCCACCACTCGCAAAGCACTGCAAGACCCTACGCTTGTAAAATACTACCGTAACGTCAGATCTGCTTTCTGGCACGCAAACGCAAAAGGCGGCTTTGAGAGGAGGCGGCAAGCCTTTAATCTGCCTGCTTTGGAAACCACAACGATCTGATACTGTCGCTTATACCTTGATGAGTAAGGCTGCTGGGGCTGAACACACGGGCTGTAGCTGCCCTGGAATGGCACTGCCTGTAACCACACCACAGCAGCACCCAGCGCCAACGCGGGTGCACAGAGGAGACGCTCCACATCAGGAGTAACAGGCACCAGCTGGGCGATAAATAACCCTGTGCCCCACACAGCTGGAAGCAATCGTTCCCTCTCAGAATTTGCCCCTAGTTCCTTTTCTGAACCGACCATTTCACCTATTTCGGACATCCCATGCGTGCTATGCAAATGACACCGATCACTGTGTCTGCTGAATTAATACAAAAATGACATTTTCGCAATGACAGCTAAACTTAAAAGAGTGCTTTAGACAATATCTTTAAGGCTTCATTATAAGCATTTCACAAATCTATGGATTTTTTTTTTTTTAATTACCTTGTTAGACAATAGGCCATTGCAGACTGTATCCAAGGTTTCTTGGATGCCAGTAGTCCAGACACTGCCTTTACTTCTCCCTGGGATAGCTTTTGGACAGTTTACAGTACTATCTAATTCAAGCTGTGGAACAGAAAATGCCATTTCATTTGAGCCTGTACACGCTACACAGGATTCCTCTGTATCAGATAAAATCTCGTATTTTGCTAAATCCAAGTCACAAGTATTTACAGCAACATTTGCATAATAAACATCTACATGATGACATGCATCATCCACATAATCCTCTACTGTTGTCACTCGTGTTTTAGTTTTTTCATGAACTTCATACACATTTTCATTTTTGTCGAGGGAAATACTTGTTCCATTGCTTTGAAGATCTTCATGCGACAGAGTTTTCTCTTTGAAACCTTGTAAGTGAGAGTATTTCCCCCCCATCTCTTCCTGATCGCTCTCACATGTCTGTGCGTTGCTTTGTTTTACTTTTCCAGAGGGCGAAATGTCACACAAAGCCAATCTGCAGCTTTCTTTGACCGGGACACTACTGTTTGCAAGCAGTGGGGTTTGCTGCTCTCTGCAAGCTGCTGGGAAATATGGTCTGAACTGACCTACTGCATGGATATCTTCTGCAGAAGATAAGCTTTGTGTTTGAGCTTGCTCCCCTGCTAACAGCGTATCTTGTTTTTCTTCCCTTTCTGTTGGAGGGCTGCATAAACCAGAATCATCATCTTCCGAGGTAAGAGAATTCGTACCCCATTTGCATCTGCCTGATCTAGCTGTATCTGACATATCAGCAGTTTCATTAAAGGAGCATTCACTTTTATTCGTGTAATCCGAAAAGTTGGGCGGAACAAACATTCTCCACGATCGCCTATGCTCCTTCTTTTCTGTGTGAGACTTTGCTTTAGGTAATCCAGCTGTCCGAATTATATCACTGTTCAGTTTGAGAGCATCAAAGATCATTTTTTCATCTAACTTGTTAGCTTCACGGCTTCGGAGCTCAAAAACACTGGAAGAAGTAAGGGCACCATTGGAGCACAAAGTGCTGATGTCCAGTGTTCTGTGACTGTAGGGTAAGGTCCGGTCCGTGAAATGCCTCGAGGAGAGGCTGCCCTTGGAGCCCGAATCGATCTGTTCATTCAGCCGCACAGTGTCATAGATGGACCTCTGGGGAACGTAGCAGTCCTCAATATTTAGATCTTCGTCTTCTTCCCCTTTGCCAACACAAGGAGGATTCTGACGTAGACAGTCTGGCCTGCTAAGCGGCTTCCCCATCCTGAAAGTATTCGCAGAAGTACACTACTACTATACCTCCGTTTTCATGGATACAGGGAAAACATTTAAAAAACACTAGCGCTCTGAAGAATTATAGTAAAGTTGCCCTTAGCGTAAGATGCATAGATACAAAATATACATCATAACTTATGAGGTGGCTGAGGTCATTCATAATCAGTGCATCAGTTTAAATGCCAACTTTACCTGGATGTGAGGTTCTCCCCCCCCCCTCTAAAATATAAAGTGCTTCAGTAATAAAGTAAGAGAAATCTTCCAATGTCACAGAAAAACGAAGTATAGCAAAACCCAGCAGTGGCTCAAATATTTCAAATGCTCCATGGAAGGCTTCGTTTACTTTTCCAGGTCAGAATCTCTATCTGAAATCTCCGGATTAAGCCTTCCAAATGAACAAGCGTTACAGAAGGCAGCACATTATCTTCTATAGGTGATGGCTTAACTGTAATCCATTTAACTGACTTGCAGAGTCCCATCTCCTTTATAAATAAAACATGGTGCGGCAGCTTAAAAAAGACAGAATCCACAGTGGCTGTTGTACGGTCCAGACCAAGGCACCGAGAAAATCTTGGGGTTTGGGGGGCGGGAGAAATAAGTTAAATCCAGAACAGACAGAACGATAAACCAGCCCTTTACTTTTTTGGCAGTAGCTATAAATAACCTTGATCCGAAAGGCAGCTTATCCTCCTCTTGTACCAGGCTCGTCCGTGGTGCCTCCACAAGTCGCACAGGAAAACATCACTTCCCAGCAGCCAAGCCAACGCGTCCTCCGAGCAGCCAGTCGGAAAACAAACGTTTCAGACCCATTCTCCCAACGCCATCCTGGAGAGCTGTTTAAGGCAACTGCAGAGCCGAGCAAGCGCGGCGTGTCCCCCCGAAGGCACGGCAGGGGTACATTCGGCAGGGCCCGGCCACAGGCAGCAGCGAGCGCGCTGCCCGCGCTCCTTCCTCCTCATCTCCCAAGCGCCGCTGCGAGGAGGGCAGCGAAGGAGG